TGGTTTTAGAAAGACTCACTTTTAACATCTTTAGGGCTAGTTCACACCAGCCACAGTGCGTTCCGGCCCGATAGGTCCAGTGTGTTCCGGCATCAAATTCCGGCTTACTTAGTTTTATCAAAAAAAACAAAACAAAAAACACATTTACTGAAATCCAGAAAATATAATTTATTTTTGAGCATTTACAAATCATGTTTGATAGAGAATCTGTCTTACAGGATGAGTAAATTTTGGCATTAAACATAAAACGCAACATTCTGATACAAAAGACTGTACAATCCTTTACTGGTGGAGTACCACTTTTTGTTTAAAAAAACATTAATGAAAGGCTTTAAAATGACTTTGTTATTGGTTTACATCTTACAGTAGACGTCAGAATTACAACCTGACTGCTTCAGAGCTACGAGTTGCACGATCACCCACAGCAGCAGCAGCATGAGCTGGCCCGGTCTGGATAATTTATTAGGCTTACCATGTTTCATTTTTTTTTTTAGCAAAGGCAACAAAATTTTGCAAGGTATCAAAACTTCCAACTGTGAAAAAACGATGAGCTTCTTAAAAACAAAACATTTGCATATTCAAGAGATCCCCCAGCTTTGATCAGACGATTGAATAAAACAAGTTGTGCCATCTTGCAACGATTTAATACATCTTAAGCCAATTTACCGACTAGAGTAAATGGCTTTAGGTGGCTACAAGATACAATGCAGTTGTTGAAAACAGATCTCCTCTTAAACCCCTATGAGCTGCTTTGAGCCCCTCCCATCCTCTTTGTATCCTATACCCGTAACACTAACAACAACTAACCCTAATTTTTCTGGGTTCTGTCCACTTCCTTCCTTTTCTTTATTGCCGGAAAATGTCAAGTCTTCTACAAGTCACCATCTAATAAAGAAGCAAAGGATCTAGCGAACAAGGCCCAGAAGCAATTGTGAATTGGTTGTACAGAGGCAAGTCACCATACTGGACTTTCTTCACCTATCAAATGACTTTGTAGAGTGATGATTAGGCCTCAAGAAGAAAAAAATTTATTAATCTGCAGAAGGAACATGTCTAGCCTTAGCTGATTTTAGGCTCACGTAAGAGTTTGTAGTAACGGTGCATTTACTCAGAATAGAGCCGGCCCTCTAAGGCCTCATTCACACTGCCATACAATACGCTGCGCATAGATGTGCGCAGCTTATTTTTTCCAGATGCAAATAAATGGCTCCATACACATAGCTGCGTAGAGAGCCATTTATTTGCACTGCATAAAGATGCGCAAAAAAGGGAGCCGAGATGCGTCCGGGCTCCGTATTTTATGCGCGTACAGGCATATACACGTGTACGCACGTACAGTACATTAAAAGTTCTATTCAGAATGATGCATTCTGGGATTGCATACGGTGCATGCGTATATACCAATTTTTGCGCTTGCGTTGTATGTGCATGAGGCCTAATCGACCACTTGTTGGAGGACCACATAATCCAGTGTAAATATGAATCAACCATCTGAATTCTGCTCACTGCAACTACCACAAGGGAGCCGTATTGTACTATGAAGAAATAAGAACTCCTATGTTACAAACTGCCGAGGCACCTTTGTTATCTTTCATGTAATACCATTTTGTTGGCTACGGCTGATAAATGCTCGAAATACAACATGGCAACCCTCAGGAGTAAGAAAGCAGCTTCTCCACCCTTTTCACTCCTTCAAAATTTATCAAGCTCTAACATTTGAACGCTTTAAAATAAGGCAAAATAAGCAAGAGCTGCCACAATCACATGAAGGCTGGACGGAAATATATAAAAGTAGCCATTTTAGAAAATAAAAATCTTATGGTGCTTTAGGTTCCCAAACAGCAGTAAATAGCAAAAAAAAAAGAAACAAAAAAACACACACACCATTAACACCACATTTTATCATCTACTGTGGTAGACAAAATGCTTCTCGATATAATACATAAGAAAAAAAGAAATTAAATACTTACATATGAGGTTCAACACAAATACTTAAGACATTTTTCGTGATTTGGCTGGAAGTTATAATTACAAAACAGCCACAAACTGGAATGCTCTGAATACAATCTCGCAGCATCACGCGGAGCAACGGGAATGATAAATGTGACGAGAATCATTCCAATATTTTATTATAAAGCACACGTAAAACTGTATATCAAAAGACCGGCAACTTATCTGACATGTACACCAATCTAATATATAGCAAATAAAACCATGTTAAAACCACTTGGGAAAGAAAGATGTTCCAAATTTCCACAGTTATTTGCTAACTTTTTCTTTTGACAATAAGATTTAAAAAATTCTGAATATAAAAAAAATGTACAATTTCAATGAAAACAAAAAGCAGTGCTAAGGAATTAAAAACATCTAGGATTTTAAAACCACTTACAAAGATTACAGCTGATCTATTACTAAGTGAGAGTATATAAATTATTTTACAAATCTGGAAAGGCGGGTGAAGTGCTGGATTACTTCCTGCTGCGTGTGCTTGCTCTGCCTCTTGTCGCTATGGGGGATTTCACTTTTTCTGGTTTGGAGGTCTCTTTTAATTTCCCGCTTTTTGTAGCTGCCTCTGAGGAAGAAAATTTAGGACAGGTTATAGAATGTAAATTAACATAAGTAGCTCACCAACCATACTGATCATGTAGCCTCATTCATTAAAAGGAGAATTATGAGGCGAGTGATTTTCACTCAGCCTCATAATCTGAGCTGACCTGTGACAATGAGACTGTCACAGGTCGGCTCCGTAGATTGGGAAGTGAGCGAACACATACCGTCGCTCGCTCACTTCTCGATCTATCCGTGCAGAGCCGTGACTGTCACTCACGGCTCCCTGCAGGGATTTCCCCCTCCAGCGCTGACTGGCGGAACGGACGGGGGAGGGTACAGCTGGCTCTGCCTCTAGATAGGCAGAGTCAACTGTCACTCACGCAGCTGGGTGGATCCAGACAGAATTGTAACGATATCCGTTACCCTAAGCTCAGTTCGCGGTATACTGAGACGCCGCACCTGGAGCGGATCCCGACGTAGCTGACGGGATCCGCCCAGCTGCGTGAGTGACAGCTAGCTCTGCCTATCTAGAGGCAGAGCCAGCTGTACCCGCCCCCCTCCCCCGTCCGTTCCGCCAGTCAGCGCTGGCAGATCGGAGCGGGGAATGCAGCCCCTTCCCGTCACGGCAGAGAGCCGTGACAGGATCGAGAGGTGAGGGAACCCGGTATGTGTTCCCTCACCTCCCGATCTACTGAGCCGACCTGTGACAGTCTCATTGTCACAGGTCGGCTTAGAACTATGAGGTGAGTGGAAATCACTCATCTCATAGTTCTCCTTTAACCTGTTCTGAAAAAGTTCCTGCAGTGCCTGGAATTTAACACTTGGAATCTGAGCTTAGAGTATCCAATTGGCTTTAGATGCACCTGAAGGGGCAACAGAGATGGGCACCCGGTACAGCAGATCACAACTTGATTGAGAGATGATTTTGCTTCTATGGGCGTGAATAGCTGAATAGACAGTAGCACTTCCTAACCAGTTTACAATGCAAGCAACGGCAATAAACCACATAGGTAAAAAGCAACTTGGGAAGAAAAATGAACTACAAGATGCTGGCCACACACAGATTACGACTATAAATGGGTCAGGGAGGGGACTACTAAAGGAATTTATACACCCAGCTTTCCAAGAACACAAAGTCCAACTGTGCAAGTTAAAACAGCTGTCACAAGAGGCCGAGCTCTCCTCCCGCACCACCCCACTCAGCCTCCTGTGACCAGCGAGTCAGGATGGAGAGCAGGCTGCAAACACTCAGTGACCAGCTGGTCGCCAAGTGTTTGTAAATAACTTGTAACATATGCTTACTATGTCCCCAGTTATGAATGAACAGGAAGTGTTCTACATCACTTCCTGTTCATATACTGTGGATAGAGTAGGAGTTACTCTGTCTACAATCATGAACGGACATGAGCGCTCAGTATAGATCTTTTTTTCTATTTTAAAACTGGAAATATCAGGGGTCTGTGTAGACCTCTGATATTTCCACAGGGACCCCAACAGTAAAAAAAAAAAAAAAAAAAAAAAAAACAA